GACAGACAGGGAATGTTGGGGGCTGGCTGATGGGGAGTTTCTCTCTCTCCTGCCCCCTCTTCCCAGGCTCTGATCCCATTAGAGCCCGTTAAAGAGCCTGGGGCCGGCCCTGCTCACTAATCCCCCCCCCCAGCTCACAGATGGAGCCGAGTGGATTAATTCCTACCCCGCCCCCCAACCAGCAGGATTGACCCAGTGCCGGGCGGGGAGCGAGCGGCGCTGCACGTCGTGGGGAGGGCGTCATCGGGGCTGGAGCCTTCACCTCCCCTGGCCCAGGCAGGGTCTCACCACCTCCGCCTGGCCCGCGGGATGCCTGGGTCCAGTTCCAGACGCCTCCTCTGTGGGTCTGGGCCCACCCTGGGCCTCAGTTTCCCCTCATGAAAGCACAAGCCCCCCTTGATTCAGGCTGTGAGCTCCCTGGGGCGGGCAGGGCCTGGCTCCAGCTGGGGCGGGGGCCAGGCATGGGCGGTGCCCGGCGCGACGGGCTCCCATCTCGGGCAGGGTGGGGTTTGAATCTGGGGAAAGGACCCAGACGTCCTGGCTCGCAGTCGAGTTCTTTAAGCACAAACCCAGGTGCCTGCTTCCTATGGCTGGATGTGCACAGACCCAGGGTAACACAGGTAACCGCCCCCCACACCCCCGGCTCAAACCCTCGGGCCCGTCTAGCGCGGGATCCGGCCCCTGCCCCAGATCGGAGCCGTGGGCCCCTCGGCCCCTGTGACTGCTCGGCCAGCGCCGGCCAGCTCTGTCTCTGTCTCTGTCTCTTGCTCACGCAATCTTGCCGCCCCGGGCCCAGACGCCCGCTTGTGCAGAGCTGGGTGACAGCTCCCCCCACCCCCCCGCCAGCGCCCGTCAGCCCAGGCCTTCGTCAAACAGAGCAACCACCGGAAAACACCACCGTGGAAGGAGGCATGGGACACAGGGCCCGTCCCCTCTAGGGGGCGCTGGCTCCCATCCGGCCCCAGGGCGGGGACTGGTTGGCTCAGGGGGGCAGGAAATGGGGCACGGGGCCTGTCCCCTCTAGGTGGCACCGGCTCCCATCCGGCCCCAGGGCGGGGACTGGCTGGCTCAGGCCAGCCCCCAAAGGCCAACAGACAAAGCCCCGAACACACGTCCCCACCCGTCAGCCCAACGTCCGCGCTGTGGGGCTGGGGGAACCACATCACTTTAATGAAAACGTCGGACAGTGTCAGCGGAGTGACGCAGTGTATCACATCTCCTGGGTTCTCTCCCTGGCTCTGGGAGGGGAGTGGGGTCTGGTGGTTAGAGGGGGGGTGGGGATGGGGGGCTGGGAGCCAGGACTCCTGGGTTCTCTCTCTAGCTCTGGGAGGTGGGTTCTCTGAGTCAGCCAACCTCTCTCCCCCGCTGCCATTTCCCACCGCCGTGAAATGAGTTTGCTGGGCTTGAGCCCCGTCGGAAGTGGGGCCGGGGCCCTGTTACAGCACAACCTCCGAGGGGCACGAACCCACAGCCTCAGCAACGGGGGGCGATATGGCTGAATAGGCCAGAAGAACTGAACCCCCCACCCTGTAAAGGCTTCCCCTGGGGGTGGGGACAGGGGAAAAGCTGTGTAAGGGGGGAGCCCAGGGCTGGGCTAGCAGGGGCTGCGGGTCGGGAGTGAGGGGCACCGGTGCAGGGGGGGAGCCCAGGGCCGGGCTGGCAGAGCGG